TATTATTATTATTATTATTATTATTATTATTGTTAGATTCGTTGGAAGGTGCAAAAGTGAGTCATATGATATGGTGCAAATCCTGTCAGAATTAGGGTCATGCGACATGCGAGCTCGGAGCGTTATAACGTGTCCCCGGGCTGCTCTGTACAAATTGTGCTGAATTTGTTGTTCATTGTGTATGACGTCATCGTGTGTCATCATTGTATTGTGACGCACGAGGTATTATTAGACGCTCACACGTGTTACATCTGTTTTGTGCCTAACAATGAAGATGGCCTGCGTAGTGCTAGTACAGAGGGTGGGCAACACTGTCGAAACCTCTCTAACAAACATCTTTTCTGAAGGTGCGTGCTGGTTGCAACGTGACAATTGTTATTCTACGTGTAATGTATGCAATGCTACCAATCAATACTCACCCACCACACTTCCGACGTTTTCATTTTTCACTTTTCATTTGCCATATTAGTAGCTGCGTTGATAACAGGGATGCTGAACTCCTGTTCTAGTATAACAACCTGCAAGTTAACTGATGATTGGTTAATCAATTTGTACTTTTTGACAACTCTCCTTGTCATTCCTTTCCTTGTGCGTCGAAAGCCCTACTGTCCATATACCTTGCTTGGTAGGAGTGACAATGTTATACCTACCAAAATGATTCTTTACTATAACGTTATGTTTACGTGTAGGTTTAACTTTATTCGTATTTAAAAAGACTGCTACTTTTCCGTGCAGCTAAGCACACGGTTCGTTCTACTTGCTCTTAGTTCTTTTTGTGTGTGTATAGTATATACTTCTGAGCATTCATTTCATGTTTGTATACTTTATTAGATGCAAAGAGAAACACGTTGAAGAAGCGGTAGCACAGTACGTACGGCACGAGCGCCGGCAGCAGCCCAGCGAGGCGTCGGTACCCAGCACAATACATGGATGAATGCTACACTTGCCCCCTCATCGCTGCCTAACCCGTACACTGGCACAGTGGCTCAAGTGAAATCAGTGATAATCTGTAAATTTGCACCAAATGCCTGTAAAACTCCCGATTATTAGAAAAGAGAAGACAATGGTGTGCACCGTCTCCTAAAATGTGCAGTAATCAACTTCCTGTGATTTTGTTATTTTGAAATTGCAATTGTTGAACAGGTAATAATGTTAGTGTAAGCATTGAATCGTCTGTTATGAATAATTTAACTTGGTCGTATAGTCACGAAAAGGATCTAAGACATGGAACCAATTTTAGCACGTCATAATATTTTGTCAGTCCTTAAGACTAACGTCAAGCGACTGTGCTTTAAGACAAGAGGACTTTTTCACTATGCACACGTCTATAAAAGATGTTGAAAGGTGAGTTCATCAGGTATGATTATGTACAGCATTGAATATGTATCTTCACAGATGTGAATAATTACTTATGAGTAACGAAACGAGCAGAGCACCTACACGTAGGTGGAAAGGGGGTTTATTGTCTACAAGGTGCACCTACCTGTACATAGGGGTTTAATCATATCTATGGTTTAATCAATCAATGTGATGGTGGGATTACTGTGGAAACTGTAAAACCGACACTGCAGGTAGAGGCATTGCCGTGTGACCCTGTGAACACGGATATATACTGTGTATAAAATTTGTTAATAAAGCCTGTCATTGTGCGAGAACAATTTCCTGTTGATTAGATAGCTATTTTTCCATTGGGACTGTAAAATATGCAATTATAACACTCGGAATAACCTTTGAATATTGATTGCCGCATTTGGTACACCGGTCATTGGCTTTGTGACTTTGTGTGCATTTCCGCTGACCTCGTGTCTGCAGCAGCTATTTGATCACGTTAGATGAGAAAAAGAAGTTGACAATCGCGTATATTTTTTTTATTATATAAACTACTAAACTATCTACTCGTTCTGCTACATACGAATATAATACTTTCAGGGAAGAATAACAACAATATGGTTGAACTTTAATGTGTAGTGTCTATACATAGGTTCGTGATAATAGACTATCCTTATGTAATTGTTATAACCTTTATTGTGTACTCCTGATACCTCACATGAGTTCAAAATACAGAAACTATCATATTGACAAGAGCTAGTAGCATAGAGCAATAAAATGCCATGCCCAGTGGGTATTTCACTAGCCCTATGCCACTAATTCTGTGAGATATAGTTGGATAGCAAGACTCACTTACCAACAGGTGGCAGCAGCGTAATTTCCATTAGTCATATTTAAATGCAACAAAATATTACTCTGCAGGACTCTGGAGAATGGACTAAAACTAAGACATGCATATCACTTTGTCATCGCAAATGGTAGTGCGCATGCGCATACGCAGTTGGGTACTATTTTCAATTAAACCAAGTTTATTGTATTTAATGGTTCCATCGTAAATGGCGGCGAAGCCTCTTGGAACCATCGATAGAACCCATTTGCCACTGCACAAAACAAATGATCATTTAAAAAGGACGTTCTTTTTAAACTCTTATGCCTAATATTTATTTTTGCCAAAATTTGCAGTTATTTTCAGATGCGAACATGCCTATTTGATCTGAGACCGTTTTCGATGGGTTGGATGCACAGATGCATAGTTCGCTTCTTAGCGAACATTTCTGTCCAAGCGTATTTGCAAGTGTTACCATCTAAGATGATGCGACAAATTTCAACGGAACTATCATAATAATGCTTAGGATGTAAAACAAATACAGTGGTCCCTGCTTCATTGGGACAGGTCGAGAACCATGAAAATGTACCGATTAATTAAGCGATTAAATAAGCGGTAAACACAAAAACTTGTGTGAAAATTCTTTTTAAAAGGCATGTCGTTTAGGTATGTGCCCATTTTCCCGGGGTCCAATAAAGTATGGTCGACTGCAGTGAACTCAATGCTACTAATACTGTTAATTCCAATGACACAGCATCCACACGCACACGCACACACCTAAAATTACTCTATAATACATAGCTATCTATGCACACGTCTACAAAGTGTAACAGATGGTAACATATATATGTATAAAATATTAGAGGACTTGAAACCACACAGTGATAAAATGCAAGTGTGAAAATGGTAGTATTATTTATTTGAAACTTATACATTGAATACTAAACGTTATACTACTCAAAATTGTTCTGTGTAAATAATATAAATAAACACCATAATGATGGCATCTAGAAAAAATAAGCAGAAATGTGGAAACTGTTGGGTATATTCATTCTTACATTTTATCATTATACTGAGAAAACACCTAGGTATCTTAGTCTAGACAACATTTACTCCTGACTACATTAGTACTTATAAATGTCATTCCAAACAGTATACAAATGAGCGCCTTAAGTTTAAATTTATTACACCCTGTAGTTTTATTATAACTGTCGATTCAACTACACAAACACACGTCCTGAGTACCATACTCTACACACCAGGCTACCACACTGAACTGTTTAAAAACGTTATTGGTAATAGTACAATTGACGATAACTCTAATTTGTAATCATTACTGGAAACCTGTTTACTAATTACCTAACATTCTAACTAGTCTTGGTAGTGATCAACGCACTGTACATTTACGAAACAGTATGAAATCTTTTACTCTACTGAAATATACAAGATACGTGTCCCATGACTTACTAATCACTAATTGTGGTAGTGTACACATGCAATCCCTTTGACCAAGAAAAGTATGTACAGGTATATGTCATAAGAACAAATTTAGACTTCAATTAGGAAAATATACAATATTACAATTCCACATTGCCTCTACTAGATTTCTACAACAATTAACACGAATTTCTATGCCAAGGTGACTTGCAGTAATATTTCATGATTTATGGTTATGCGAGGAGAAATAAGTTAATTGATTAAGTTTAGAGAAACCACTGGCATAACTTTCAAAATTTTGTGCCATATCCTGATATCTAATTCATGAGCTCATTTATCACTTTGTTTTTTTCTTGTCAATTTAATTCCACACCCTAAGATCACTGCCCCACCAATTTCATGTTTAATCTATAACTACATTCATATCAGCATGCCCACACTAATTACCCACTTTAAAAACGAGTGATAGTTTAAAAAAAATTATTATTTTCAGTCTAAAAAACAAAATTGTAGTTCACTGATCACGAGTTTTAAATATTTTTTCTTAAAAAAATTGAAAATGTATATATATACAGGCAGTTACAGGATGACAGTGTCAATATAGTTAGTACTATAAAGACTACTGCCCTTGACAAGAAGCGGATGGCGTGAGGTTAGCCCATGGATCTTCCAACATAGAAGGATGGTAATAGTTCTGAATGTTACTACTCCCTCCTGGGTTGCAATCTGATCCTGATGAATTCCCACGTCCAAAACTCTGCAAGCAAGTTATTTTGAATTAAGGCCAAAGTATCCAAAGCATAATATATATATATATATATTACACATGATGCTATATTTTTTGGCTTTCATAGTTTTGCAGCTATGTTAGAATACAAAAATCGATTTCATACTGGAAAAAAGAAAGCTTAAAGAATTTTGCTCTAATCTGCAGTGGTGATGAATGCTAGAGTAATTGACACCTTATGTCATTTATAAGTCCATAACCTCACCACCAAATTCCCATTAGTTTGTCTAATTACAATGCTGGTTACGAATAAAAAGCACAAGTTAAAATCAACTGCGTTTGGTGTTGCTTGTATGTCAAATGCCAATTCCCAAAGCGAATGTACTAATAAAGGATTTTGCATCTCATATTTTTGCATGCATGCTCAGCGCCACACATGTTTCGCTGCCGACTCCTCTATTATGACTGCTGTCACTAGACATAACATATGGGACACACAGGGTCTTACTAAACTATAACTATAAATGTGACGTGGTTAGCAGGGTAAAATTCAGACTGAATATTTAGTTCGGTTGCTGATAAACAACATTAAAGTCTGGTTTGTACTTTGTAATGTAACAGACTGTGAAATTAGCCCCAAGGTTATGCACTTGTACACAATACAAGATGTCAGTTATTCTAGTAATTGTCAACACAGCAGATTAGATAGCAATATTCTTCCTTTAATTGATTAAAATTTAGAACCAGATTAAAGATATAAGAACAACATATTTCAAAGAATGTTGTTATTACTAGTAAGGCGAGAATTTTTTATTTTGTTGGTTTACAGATCCGCCGACCCCGAATTTTCAAGAAAAACAACAAAAAATAAAAATTGAAAATCTGTATTTTGTTATTCCCGCCGACCTTTTCTCTAAGAAATATGAATTAAAAAAATGTAAACTTGCACAAACAGTTTATAATAAAAGTTAAAATAATTACAAGTTGAGTTTTGTTTTCATTTAGTTTTCCTAAAATACTTTAATATCATGTATAACAGTATCACTGTATTTTGACTTGTTTGATCTGACAAAACAACATTTTTTTTACCCTACCGAGTCAACAACCAAAAAAAAAATGCTGTAAACCAACAAAACAAAAAAAGGTGGCCTAACTGTCATCCTTAGACACTTCTCCTGCCATCCCTCCATACTACTATGGAGGGCCAACTGTTGGTGCCTATGTACGATGTACGAGTGGTTGCAGTTCATGTTAAGACCAATTCTAAAATGGCTCGGATATTTTATGCATCATGATTGGTCAAAACGCGTCACGTGACACGCCGTTGTTGTTGTTATAATGCACGCCAAACCATGTAAAAAAGCGCGCAAAAAAAGTTATATTGCACGCTCGCGATTATGTTAACATTTACAATAATTAAGCATCAAACTGAAATTTTTGAGATGTAGATTTACTATTGATTTTCTAGACTATTTACCTAGACTGTTTATCTAGACATACTGTTAAATTGATATAGCGTGTCGCAATTTAATCAACTGTAAATGTGTTTGTTTTTGACTTTCGGGACTGGAATAAATTTTCGAGATTTAGCCTTACTATTTATTTTCAATTAATTGTGTGTGTCGCAATTTTATAAAACAGATAACGCACTTGGCCTGCTGTGCGATCAATGTAAATGCAGCGACACACACAATTAATTGAAAATAAATAGTAAGGCTAAATCTCGAAAATTTATTCCAGTCCCGAAAGTCAAAAACAAACACATGCAAACACACACAATTATGCTATGACTCTTGAACTGCGTGTACCTAGCGGTAAATGATATATTCCACTCCGGGCCAGTCCTACTTTAGGAGTCTGTACACACATAACATGGTTAGGATTAGGGTAATCCTAGGGTTATGGTGATGGAAATGTATAATTGTGACAGAGAAATCATGTGTAATGTAGCACTATTCCTTTGAAGAGTTCCTAATCCTCATAATGCATAATGCTTACTGCATACCTAACAACTAATAAAGCTACCTTTAATTTTATCAATCACAAGGTGGCATGTATGACAATACATGGCTGTGTGGTAAATTTCATATTTGTTTGGGAAGATCATATATGATCCGGACCACACGGATTCAGTGAACCTGTGCATGTGCTTGGACTGATCACTGATCCCGATCACAAATTGCTGACGAGATTAAATCGAAAAGGACCCCAATATAGCAGCATGCGACTTGGCCATTCATAGCTCTAGTACTAGGGCTATAGCCCGCTTACATTAACTGCCGCTGGGCTATAGAACGAGCCATTAGGGATGCGTGGGACCAACTTAAGCACGCTTGTACCCGCCTATAAAACGTCTGTGGTAGGCAATTATTTAATGCCTCTTATCCGAAGTGAATATGTCTTAAGTTATATCAGCTACTAAAATTTAACCTCTAACTATCGTTGCAATGGTATACTTGCGGTATTTCTTGTGAACAAACATTCGATTTGCGAACTTCAAATGGCCATTTCTGGCGGCGCTGCAGCAGTGCCAGTCAGCGGGAACCATGTATTTCCGCACGCGAAGGAGTGGGTGGGTTGGATTTTTTGCGGACAAAAACATTGTTGTTGTCAAGTAACAAATTAAGCAATCAAAAGAGATTGTAATATTAATTTTATCATTAAAGATGAACAAATTAAATTATTAATTTGTTACTTGACAACAACAATGTTTTTGTCCACACCCAACACAACCCGCCCACCCCTCCACATTTGGAAATACATAGTTCCCGCTGACTGGCTGGAGTAAGTTGGTCCCGAGCATACATAATGGCTGGTTCTATAGCAGGAGCGGATCCAGAGGGGGGGTCGAGGGGGTCCGGACCCC